GACACGATAACACGCCAAGCATGCACTGCGGTGTAAATTTGCACTGTGATTGTCTGAAAAAAAATGCTATACAAATTTATCCAATTGCTATACAAAATTTATTTTGTATAGCACATTTGCTATGCACATTTTTGGCTGGAAATTGTTCCCTGTTTAGATGAGATTATATGCCTATGGCCTCGTATGTATATCGTAATGAAAATTACATTGTATTGGATACCTACATAGCACCAATATCACATATTTACTGCACCAGTACTGTAGTGTAAATGTGATATGCATTTAGATGACTATACTACAATGTAACAATGTATTAACTTGTATAATGCACTTAAGACTAGAGCCTTTACCATCCGATGACATGTGGATATTGACGTTGCCTGCTTCGATGGCTGATTCCATCTTATCATGGCCACTGCTGAGGCGCTCCTTCTCCTGCTCTGCCAGGCTTCCATAGTGGATGACCTTGTCATGTTTCACATACGTGATCTCCTCATCATCCGACATCGTTCCGCGTTATTTATACGGTGCGTTTCTTGTCAACTCTGAAATAAATTAAATTTACAGCAACAATTCACTTCAGTTCACAGTTGATGACGCTCACGGTTACGAACATGTGAGGCTTTGCTAATGTAATGTAATGTAATGCCACGACGACTGGCACAGATGCCACACTAGTACTGCACAGTCTTGATTATATGAATAACTCAGTAACTGCAGTGCAGTGCAGTGGCTGCCAGGCTGGAAATGAATACCATGTTTAGGCATTTATATATTGTGCCCACAAATTTGTTTATAATCTGACGCTATTCTATAAGTATTAGATATAATTGATATATTGGAATATACATCAAACGATCCTTACTATCTTATAATAACTGAGTATTTGGTTATTTATAAATAACACAAAGAATTTGAAGTTTCGGCGTGGAGGCTGCCATGTACCCAGAATTCCACTTTCCGCCGACAGCGCCATCGCTATTCCAAGGCCAAGCCATGGCTGCGAAGTAATAGTCCAGGAGCACGAACCTTGACATTTTCGTTTCGTTCAACCATCACTACATCTAAGGTTTGATTTGACAGGATGGTCGAATAGACCCCCTAGAACACCCCCAGGTAGTATGTAGTCTCAAATTGTGGTATCAGTTTTGTGCTAGACGCCATTTTATAGACAAGGGTGGGTGATGCCTACGAGGAGAGGGGGAGAGAGGGGGGAGGTTTACAGCAGATGTATTACACGATGTGGAACCTTACCGACCACAACTTACACAGACCTGACCTGCGCAAATAATACAAGTTTTGACACAAACCTTTTTTTTATAGACCGTTAGCAGACACACGGTAAGGATATGAGTTTTGACATTAACTTTTCTTATAAACTGTTGACAGAAACATGATAAAGTTTCTTATACGCAGCATATAGACATCCAATCTACGAGAAAGAAGTTAACGTTAAGACTAACATAAAGTCTTATTCAGTTTCTGACGACGGGCCTCGCGGTTCACTCACCTCGAGGCGGTGGCCAGCTGCTTACTATCCGGACTAAACTAAAACTAAGATCAAGTTTTATTTTGTTTCTTAGTTTTAATTCGGTTCACACTCACCACGAGGCAGTTGCCAGCAGTTTACTATTGGGACTAAACTAAAACTAAGATCAAGTTTTATTTTGTTTCTTAGTTTTAATTCGGTTCACACTCACCAGGAGGCGGTGGCCAGCAGTTTACTGTCCGGACTGAACTGACACCAGGAGATGGGTCGCGTGTCGCCGACCTGGCTGCCAATGTTCGTTAACGCCTGCACGTGTTTGTGTAGCTCCTGCATCCGCGCGTTCCACTGAGACTCGGGAACGTCGCGTCGCACTCTCGCCTCCGCTAGCCGCTGTTTCGCCCTGGTAGAATTGGTTAATTAATTAGTTAATTAACGTTAATTAATTAATGATAAATAACTTTAATTAATTAACAATAAATAACATTATTAATTAATGATAAATAACTTTAATTAATTAACAATAAATAACATTATTAATTTATGATAATTAACGTTAATTAATTAATGATAATTAACGTTAATTAATTAATACACGGCTTCAATGTCGGCCGAGCCACTGCGAGAACAAAACTCTTACAGTGGGTTTCCGGAAGGAAATAGATATTTATTACTAGTAGAGCAGACGTTTGTAGATTTTATGCGCTTGCAATGGTATTTAAGGAATAATGCTTTTCTGTAAAGCTTTACTATACTATGAATTTTTCTGTAAAACTTTACTGTAGAATGGTCCAATCTTCTGTTGCCATCAACTGACAAATACTGTTATCCAGACTAGCAACATTTAAGAGCAAATTCAGGTGCAACTAGTAGAGCTCACGTTTATAAATTCTATTTGCATGCTACATGAGTGGTATCTAACTAATAACACTATTGGGGGATGTTTTTTCTGATAAGCGTTACTATAGAACGGTCCAACCCTCTGGTACCATCAACTGACAAGTGCTGTTATCCAGTCTAGCAACATTTACCGTATATACTCACGTAATAACCGCAAATTTGGCCTCAGATTTCAACCCTGTATTTGCTCTGCGGTTTATAAGTGCGCCATACCGTGAGGGGAAATATACTAGGCGCAATACTTGGTTACCCGATTCAAATTGAGGTGCAGCTTATAGGCGCCCGCGGTTATTACGCGATCATATACGGTAAGAGCAAATTCAGGTGACAATGGTAAGGAGCAAACAGCAGCTACATATAGGAAGGTCTATTACCTGGGTAAGGAATATTCTGCGATCCAGAGTCAGGCCTCTCTCAGTAGCTACATACAGGAAGGTCTATTACCTGGGTAAGGAATATTCTGCGATCCAGAGTCAGGCCTCTCTCAGTAGCTACATACAGGATGGTCTATTACCTGGGTAAGGAATATTCTGCGATCCAGAGTCAGGCCTCTTATTCGACCATCCTGTCAAGTCAAACCTTAGATGTAGTGATGGTTGAACCAATTCCATTTTTAGAGGTTGTACAGGAATTTGCTCCTGGACTATAAGTTTTCACGTCTGTTGTCATTGCGTAAGTTAGAAATATTTCTACCTGCTATGATAAGACGTAACCCTACTCGAATCGAGCTTAAGCTGGACGACCTCGAAGAGTACGAACTGCAGCGTAAAGAAATCGAACAGAAAAAGCAGAAAGGAAGTGAGAGCAAGCCCGAAGTTGGTGCGCCAGGCGCGCCTCAAAGAACTCGCCAGGAAACCGTCCACGAGAGAATCGGCTATCACCCACAGCCCTACTCGGGACTGCCGACTCGCCTGTCCTTCTGGTGACTAGCCCTCAGAGTCATAGATTCGCCCGATTTCAATTCGTAGAATCGAGTCACATTAAAACTAGAGAAGATTTTCAGCGCAATTAATTGCCAAGTGCTTGGCACAAGTTTAAATTGGGTGCAATCGGCAATCCCACTTTGAGTCTGACTTTAGAAATTAGAGTGAAGTTTAGTGCACAAACAAGTAGAATTAACCATATTTTTGATCTTTTGGGCCCTACATCCATGGCATAGGCATAGTGCATACATACGCCATCATCGTCATAACCCTACCCATGGTGGTACTAATCCTGTCTTAAAGTTAAATGCTCAAAAATTCTGCTCGTGCCGTTTTGCTTGAATTTGCCCCTATGACGTCATCAGACTGCTATCGCTAACAATATACCTTTCAGTCATATCATTCCGATGTCTATTCGCTGCTCCTCCTGTGTTTTATCTGATGATGATGTACTGTAAGGTGTTATTCTTACATTTGTGCCGTCGTACATTCTGAAAAATACTAATTATGCACAAATAAAAGCAGGGGTTAATAATGACAAATACAATGATGACAGTTTGTCATTATCAACCCCTGATAAAACATTTCTGAATTTGAATCATAAAATTCGATATCAAATAAAATATAGAACGATTTTCCTTCAGATCGCCCCGCTAGCTGGCGCCACCGCAGCGTGCCAACATGGCCGCCGCCGACGTGCAGAACTTCAACCCGACCGTGTTCTCGAAGTCGTCGTCGCGCGCCGTGACGGAGAGCGAACTCGACGAGGCGGCGACCGATCCCATCGACGACCGCGAGGTGTTCGACCACCTGCGCTGCATCAAGGACCCGGAGCATCCACTCACGCTCGAGGAACTGAACGTCCTAGACCGCGACCACGTTCGCGTCGGCGACGACGGCATCGACGTCGAGTTCACGCCGACGATCCCGCACTGCAGCATGGCGACGCTGATCGGGCTGTCGATCCGCGTCAAGCTTATACGCGTGCTGCCGGCGCGACTCAAGGTAATCGTTTTAAATAGTCTTTCCGACCGTTCTCGTGTTTTTCAGAGCGTTACGGTGCCCAACTGGTGTTGCTCGCGTGACGGCGAGTGTATAGAGTGAAGGTGACATGTCGCAGAACAGTCGTGCGTCGTTATTTTTTGTAAAAATGTCCAACGATTGAAATCTGCTTGTTTGCGCAGTGTCGGCGCGGTTACGGTATGTTGCCGCTTGTTTCTTGCGAGACCCTGTTCCTGTACTTTTACATTGTAACTTGAATTGAGCAATAGAGATGCTGTACAAGTCTAGAACCAGAACGTCGCTCAATGAGATGCTCTTTTGTCTGGTGATTGCCGAATTGAAAGGAATTGTTGCTATACAATAGAACGTGGCTGCATTATTTGCTATTTTATGAACCATAACACCATAAACCCGTCGTAATTTTTATACTGGAGTAATCAGTAATACGTTCTCTACTAGCTGTGACTATATTTCAGCAATATTTTTCTAGATTGTAAAATATTATTTATGAAATGATTCCCTTCAAGGTTCGCGTTGCCGTGACGCCCGGCACGCACGTCTCCGAGGGAGCCATCAACAAGCAGCTAGCCGACAAGGAGCGCGTTACCGCGGCGCTCGAAAACAATCACCTGCTCGAAGTCGTCAACCAGTGTCTTGCCGCGCACGACTGAACGTGAACCGACTTACGAATTAGACTCTTGTATTCGTTCGATAACACATATATATACGTTGATGATATGTGTGGATTCGATTAATCAGTGTAGACTGTGAACGTGATAAAAATCGGGTGACGATAGCTTTGGATTGCAGACACTGGACGTGTTAAAAAACAGTCTGTACGTTTCAATCGGTTTCTAATCGTTTTACAAACATCTACGGATTTAATCGCAGGACACCGAACGTGTTAAAATCCGATCGACGACACTTACGAATTCAAGTGTACCGGACGTGACAAAAGTGTGTGTTTGCGCCACGAGCGAGTAGTTCGTCACAGCGTGATCGCACGCGCAGGGGTGTAGGAGGACCGTGTTGTAGCGAGATCGTGCGCGCGGGAGGAGGCTGAGCATGGACGACAAACTACAGAAGAAGGTCGACGCATACGAAGCCTTCCTCAACGACGTCCTGAAGGAGGACCTTCGGCGAATCCTGCATCAGCGAGACGCCATCTACGAACAAACAGCCGACTACCTCCAGCTTCGGACCGTCCTCGAGAAGACGCAGCGCTGCCACGCGGCGGGCGAGCCGCTGCGCACGCGCGTGGACGTCGGCTGCAACTGCTACATGCACGCCGTCGTGCCGGACGCGTCGCGAGTCTGCATCTGCGTCGGCCTCGGCGTCTACGTCGACTTCACGTTCGCCGAGGCGCTCGCGTTCGTCGACCGCCGCTGCGCGCACCTAGGTGGCGCCGCCGCCGCCCTGACGAAGACGGCGACGCAGATCAAGGCCCATGTGAAGCTGGTGTTGCAGGGACTGCGCGAGATACAATCGATATCGGACACGGGGGAGGCGCAGCACGCGAGAGACGTGTGGGGGTGAATCGCCCAACCAACGAGCGAATTCATAGAATGGTCTGGTGAGGAATCGAGCGAGTACCTGATAATTCATCTTACGATGATAGACGACAATTCTTATGATATATGATTCTGATTAACTCGATCCTATTATTCATCGAATTATCTGGTGAGGATTTGAGTGAGAAAAAAACGCGAGTAAATCGGTGCATTGCAGACGTGAATCACCTCTAGACCTCGCCGTGTGACATTGATCGTCGGAAAACAATCGCGTAAACGTCGTCGAACTAGCTTCAAGCAGAGGCGCAAAATAAGCGCTAGTTCGAACACACTATAACAAACGGCAACAGAAATGGAAGCAGAAGGTGACGCGGCGTGTGGGGGGCAGTCGGCGCTGGACGCACGCTCCCAGGTAGACGACATCTACGATAACAACGATGGAGCAGCGTGTGGCGGGCAGTCTACACACTGCCTTCCCCGCGGCGTGCGCTCCCAATTCGACAGTAACGACGACGACTACGGCGCCGTCAACGACGACATGACGCACGGCGTTCCTCGTGGCACACCCTACGGATTCCACAGCGACGACGAAGACGACGACTACGTCACCAACGATGACGATCTGATGCACGTCATTCCCCGCGGCGCAGCCTCCGGATTTGACAGCAGCAGCGACGACGACGACGCGGGGGCGGACGACGCAGCGTCGCGGCTGCTGCGGGCGGCCGAGGCAGGCGACCTAGCCGCCATCGAGGCGACCCTCGCGGCCGACCCGTCGCTCGTGAACGCGTGCGACGCAGACGGCTACACGCCTCTCCACCGTGCGTGCTACGCCGGCCGCCCGCGCTGCGTCCGCGCCCTCCTCGCGCGCGGAGCCGACCCGGCGGCGGAGACGCGCGACGGCTGGCGCCCCCTGCACAGCGCGTGTCGCTGGAACAGCTACGAGTGCGCGTCGGCGTTGCTGCGGGGCGGCGCGGACGTGAACGCGCGCACGCACGGACGCGTGACGGCGCTGCATCTCGCGGCGTCGCACCCCGGCGCGCGCGAGACGTTGGAGCTGCTGCTGCTGGAGCGATACGTCGAGCCGTGGCCCGTCAACGCCGCCGGTGACACGCCGTACGACGTGGCGCGCCGCGCGGGACCGCACGCTCACTTGTTCGAGGCTGTGGAGGATTGCGCCACCTGTCTGTATGAGAAGGAACCGCGGTAGACGTTCGCTTGTTTCGCAATTGGGTTGTGCCACCTGTCTGTATGAGAAGGAACCGCGGTAGATGTTCACTTTTTTTCGAAATTAGGTTGTACTACATGCCAGCTATCTGTATGAGAAGAAACCTCAGTAAACGTTCGCTTGTTTTGTGATTTGAGTGAAGGGTTGGGCCACCTGTTTTTACGAGAAGGTACAGCGCTAGACGTTCTCTTGTTTTGTGATAACAGTGGAGGATTGTGCCACCTGTGTGTACGAGAAGGAAACGCGGTAGAGGTCCACTTGTTTTACGATTAAAGCATCACGTCTGTATGAGAAGGGACAGCAGTAAATGCTCACTTGTTTTGCAATCGGAGCTGAGTGAAGCATAGGGATGGCGAGATTGGTTGATAATTTTTTTTCTTGGGAATAAGGGGGTAAAAACATGATCCTGTCCTGATTTCAAAACTTTTGCTTTATACTACATACCCTTTAGTAAAATCCAGAAAAATAGCCAGTCCTGGTGGGGAGTTACCAGGATGGGGCTACAGAATGTTCTGCTATTTCTAACATTGTGTAAAAGCATCTTGGATTTGCTGTTTATCATGCAAATATGCAGCATGCATATATATATTTATGCATTCAAGTGATTGTTTTCAGGGATGAGATTCTTCCGCGGATCCGCGGAAATCCGCGGATTTGACAGTCCCAGGGGTCGATTTTGTGAAACATCTAAATTCGTTGAGAAAATTGGGAGGGGGGTAACAATGTAACAATTTAAATTATATATCCTCAACAGCACCTGACTGTAGACTGTAGAGTGTAGACAGTAGGCTGACAGCGAAGTATACAGTGTATCTGTTTTTGCGTACCAGAAAAGAAAATCCTCGTTCACAGGCTGCAGTAGAGGGCAAACATTTGAGGTAGCTGATCACGTAACGACCATGCCTGGCCTGGGGGCCGGGTTTACATGTTGCTGTGTGCATGTTGTGTGCATGACTATGCACTGATTGTTCCATTCGCATTGTGTTTTTTTCATTCAAATCTCGTCGCAGCAAGGCAGCTTATGTCTGAGTAAAACAATGCAAGCGATGGGTGGAAACAGAAAAAGATCATTATGTCTAGACATTTAATAAAAAATTTGCCCTATTTTCAGCCCCCTGATTTCCTATTATAGTTCGTTTGTTCCTTTTGACAACTTGAAAAGGTGATTCAAGAGTCTCCTATAATGTGTTCAGAATAGCTTAGAATGCACCAAATTGCACCATTCTTTTAAAAAAATTACGGGGAGCATGCCCCCGGACCCCCCTAGCATGGCGATGACCTACGGTCCTCGCATTGCTCGCTCCTCTGTTTGCTAATTAAAATTTCAGCTGAAAATTAAATTATCCAATCTCATCCCTGTGTTTTATTCAATATTGTCTGAAAATACACATTTTGAGTGGTGTATTGTGATCTTATTTAAGTATGAAGAAATCATAAAAGACAATAAAACAATACTATTAAAAGTACAGGTTTGTTTTTAATAAATTCATACATTATATACATGATAACCTGAACAACACAACTAATAAACTCCCCAGTAGTGATGCATGAACTCGTGACAATTATGCACAACTCGTAATACAAGTTTGCCATTGGTCCAAGCCACAAAATGTTCCACACTAATAGCACAACAACTTGAATGAAAGTATGTTACTCTAGTGACACACTGGTAGCTATTTCTTGCATACCTGCTGCATATTGCTCCAGCTACGAGATTAATTTGATCATTACATGTACAACCATGTTGCAATGCGACCTGATTCTGACCGAGAATTGACTGACTGACTGAACATATTTTTCGTACAGGACAAAACCTCTATAATGCACTGCTCCTCGAGTGTACCCAACAGCAAGATAATTAGTAGTTTGTTATTCCACAGTTGCATCTGGTTTTACTGCTATGACATCATGTCTGCTATGACATGTCTGCTATGACATGTCTGCTATGACATCATGTCTATGACATCATGTCTATGACATCATGTCTATGACATCATGTCTATGACATCATGTCTGCTATGACATCATGTCGTAGTCGTCTCTCTGCAAGATAAAACAACAGCGATTAACAAAAGCGTGAATAATTTCTGCACAATAAAGGTAAAATGTCTCTTAATGCTGTAATGGGCGACATTATCGGATGGAAAAACGAGTTTAATTTCCCGCTATAATTATCATAGAAGAATACACAGATTACGTTGTAGCGTAAAGCCACACAAAAGGTTGTCAGGAATGTCAACACAGCTAACACAACATTATGCAACATTATGTTAAGCAAACAGTCGGACACTTACGATGTCGTTATACTCCATGACGTGTTTCTTGATGGCCGATGTATCCGTCCACGTTATAAAGTCTTCCAAGTTCCTACAGACAATGAAATGAAAGTCAACTAGCCAGACAGGTTGTATGACTCCATAGATATGAAGTTTAGCTAGTTTTGATTTCCACATCATTATGCCTTCTTTATGATTATTATGCCATCATGACTTCTTGTTTTATATTTTTTTTTTTAACTTGACCTTTCAAGTTGCTGTAATAGAAAATTAAAATACAGAGAAAGATACTTCAGAAACTTCCTTTCGTAATTCTGATCAGAACTTTTTTTCTGAAGTTTGAATCGATCATATAAACCATAAATTAAAACTTTTTTATTTGAATTTGACTTGAATATATTACCAGTGTATCCTACAGCGGTACAATGTTATTTAATCCACTCGGCTCAATAAAAGTAACAAAACCGCCACGAACAAGTATTAAACAAGCTCATGTTCTTGCTCTTACCAATGTACCACTAAATTAATAAATAAATAACGTGCTCAACAGCTACGCTATAGGCCTACACAGCTATTAAGTAAACAACTGCAGATCAAAGGAACGAAGATACGCTTCATTCGTATTTACTAACAACAGCATGAAATCTTTCGCAAACACCTACCTCGTCACCAGAAAGGCCGGATCCATGATGACCTCTGGCCCGACCCTCACGTGACCTTGCTCGACGAACTGTGATGCCATCTTGCACGACTCTGCCATGTGGTTCCTCACCATCGCCACGGGTAGACGCCGTCTGTAACAACACCGACAACGACTCAGAATGCGTTTGGAGAAAATTAAATCGTTGCCGTCGATCGAAATGAGCAACCAACGGTTCTGTAAGAACATTCGTTTTTACCACAATTTATCTAACCACGAATGTATTATTGTGACATCACGGCCGTGTTCTATTGATTCTCACTCGTCACACACGTCATGTGTTTTAATGAAAATTGAAAGGCATGAAACCGCTGCCAGAATATTAAATCATTTACCATTATTATATTATTAAAGGATATATCGCTCCTTCGAGTTCTCCCGTTTTTATGTAGGGTAAAGAATGACTTTACCAGTCTCGCCACCCGAACATAAAAAATCACATTACTCACTTTTACTCTCATCTTTGCTCACGTAGCACACCGTTTTATTGTAGTCGCAAAGTGACAAAACACATTTATCAGTTAGCAGTAAAAACCACTTATAAAAACCGGAGTGTCGTGAGAACTCGAACTAAATTTGAACTAGGTTGAAAATCTCTGTGTACTTGCCTGCAGAACGTGGAGGCTGTGATCCTATCTGCGAGGCTCAGGCTTTTCTTCGTCGGAATTAAACCCATTGTGTACCTGAGAGAGAACCATAGTGTTTAGATTCGCCAATCTTCTCACACAGGATGACAGTGCGAGTGATGGGGCATATTGACGCGATATAACAACTCGTCAAACTGCGCGTTTTGTACGAGACGCGTGAACGAAACTTAAAAATCACATTTAAATTATCGAAATACAAACGCAATTACGCATAAGAGAGGGAGAGATGAAGAGAGAGAGAGAGAAAGAGAAAGAGAGAGAGAGAAAGAGAGAGAGAGAGAGACAGGGGCAGAGACAGAAGCAGAGACAGAGACAGAGACAGAGACAGAGGCAGAGGCAGAGACAGAGACAGAGACAGAGACAGAGACAGAGACAGAGACAGAGACAGAGA